ATAAAAAGCTTTTGCACAGCAAAAGAAACAGTCCACAAAACCAAAAGACAAGCGACAGAATGGGAGAAAATATTTGCAAATGACATATCAGATAAAGGGCTAGTATCCAAAATCTATAAAGAACTTATCAAACTCAACACCCAAAGAACAAATAATCCAATCAAGAAATGGGCAGAAGACGTGAACAGACATTTTTCCAAAGAAGACATCCAAATGGCCAACAGGCACATGAAAAAGTGCTCAACATCGCTCGGCATCAGGGAAATCCAAATCAAAACCTCAATGAGATACCACCTCACACCCGTCAGAATGGCTTAAATTGACAAGTCAGGGAACAACAGATGTTGGCGGGGATGTGGAGAAAGGGGAACCCTCCTACACTGTTGGTGGGAATGCAAGCTGGTGCAACCCCTCTGGAAAACAGTATGGAGGTTCCTCAAACAGTTGAAATTAGAGCTACCGTTCGATCCAGCAATTGCACTACTGGGTATTTACCCCAAAGATACAAATGTAGGGACCCGAAGGGGTACGTGCACCCCAATGTTTATAGCAGCAATGTCCACAATAGCCAAACTGTGGAAAGAGCCAAGATGTCCATCGACAGATGAATGGATAAAGAAGTAGTGGTATATATACACAATGGAATATTATGCAGCCATCAAAAAGAATGAGATCTTGCCATTTGCAATGATGTGGATGGAACTGGAGGGTGTTATGCTGAGTGAAATAAGTCAATCAGAGAAAGACATGTATCATATGACCTCACTGATATGAGGAATTCTTAATCTCAGGAACAAACTGAGGGTTGCTGGAGTGGTTGGGGGTGGGAGGGATGGGGAGGCTGGGTGATAGACATTGGCGAGGGTATGTGTTACGGTGAGCGCTGTGAATTGTGTAAGACTGTTGAATCACAGATCTGTACTTCTGAAACAAATAACGCAACATATTTTAAGAAAAAAGAAAAAGAAGAAGATAGCAGGAGAGGAAGAATGAAGGGGAGTAAGTCAGAGGGGGAGATGAACCAGGAGAGATGATGGACTCTCAAAAACAAACTGAGGGTTCTAGAGGGCAGGAGGGTAGGGGGATGGGTTAGCCTGGTGATGGGTATTAAAGAGGGCACATTCTGCATGGAGCACTGGGTGTTATGAACAAACAATGAATCATGGAACACTATATCAAAAACAAATGATGTAATATATGGTGATTAACATAACAATAAAGAAATTTTAAAAAAATTAGCAGGTATACAAAGAAGCAAGAAAATAAAACTCCCAATGAGGAGATGAATCAATCAAATCTAACCTACAACCTCATAGAGGTTTGAGTTAGCAAATAAAGACATAAAAACCAGAGCTAGGACTAAGGTGAGACAGAAGAGGCATGTAAGGCACAAAATTTCATGAGACACTGACTCTCAAACTTGTGTCAATTCAGATCAGACCAAGGGAAGTTGGAAAGGTAAAACTCTAAGCAACCACAAAAATAATAAGATAAAACCAACAAAGAAGATAGCATAAAGTCTTTTTTAAACTATGTAATAAATCCCAAAGAAGACAGAGAAATAAGAAAAGGAGACCAGAGAACAGATAGGACAAACAAAAAACCAAAAGCAAGATGATGGATTTAAATTTAATAACACCAATAGTCACATTAAATATAAATGGAAAAATACTCCCAAATTAAATGGCAGATATTGTCATATTGGATAAAGAAACAATACCCAAATACTTCCTATAAGAAATACATTTGAAACACAGACACAAATAAGTTAAAAGTAGAAAGATAGAAAAAAGATATATCATGCTAACACTGACCAAAAGAAAGCTGGAGGGTCTGTATTAATATCAGATAAAACAGGTTTCAAAGGACAAAATATTACCATGGACCAAAATGATTATTTCATAATAATAAAATGTTTGTTGGATTAGAAGGACATAAAAATATTACCCACTCATGTCCCAAATATCAGAGCATCAAATTACATGGGTGAAAAACAAAACTTCAAAGAGTAATAAATCTAAAACTATAATTAGATATTTCAATACCCCTTTCTCAGTAATTGCTAGAATAAGTAGACAGAAAATTAGTAAAATTAAATTTGAACCACACTATCAACCAACCTGATCCAAAAGATATTTAGAACACTCCATCTAAGTGAAATAAGTCAAGCAGAGAAAGTCAATTATCATATGGTTTCACTTATTTGTGGAACATAAGGAATAGCATGGAGGACATTAGGAGAAGGAAGGGAAAAATGAAAGGGGGGAAATCGGAGGGGGAGACGAACCATGAGACACTATGGACTCCAAGAAACAAACTGAGGGTTTCAGAGGGGAGGAGGGTGTGGGGATGGGTTAGCCCGGTGATGGGTATTAAGGAGAGCACATATTGCATGAAGCACTAGGTGTTATATGCAAACAATGAATTATGGTACACTACATCAAAAACTAATGCTGTAATGTATGATGACTAGCATAACAGAATAAAATAAATTTTAAAAAATAATGAGGGACAAAAAAAAGAAAAAGAACACTCCAACAAAAGCAGAATACATATTCTTTGCAAGTGTGCATAGACCATTTATTTGGATAAACTATATTCTGGATCATAAAACAAATCTGCATAAATTTTAAAGAATTCAAAGAATATGCAAACTGTTCTCTGTCACAAATATATTGTATTAGAAATCAATAACAAGAAGATATCTTTAAAATTCCCAAATATCTAGAAACTAACATGCTTATAAGTAATACATAAAATAACAAAATCAAAAGTTAAATTAGAAATTAGAAAATAAATTGCTATAACTAATAAATTCAGTAAAGTTACAGGATAAAAAACCAAAATATAAAAATATTTTGGTGCTCATTTTGGCATCACATATTCTAAAATTGGAACAACACAGAGCTTAGCATGGTCCCTGCACAAGGTAACATACAAATTCATGAAGTACTTAATATTTTTTTAAAAATCTGTATTTCTATGCAGTAACAACAAACTATCAGAAAGAGAAATTAAAAATAACCCAATTTACAATTGCATCAATAAGAATAAAATACCTAGGCATAAATTTAACAAAAGAGATGAAAGATCTATCTATACACTAAAAACTATAAGATATTGGGCGCCTGGGTGGCTCAGTTGGTTAAGCAACTACCTGTGGCTCAGGTCATGATCCTGGGGTCCTGGGATCGAGTTCCACATCAGGCTCCCCCTGCTCTGCAGGGAGCCTGCTTCTCCCTCTGCCTCTGCCTGCCACTTCCCCTGCTTATGCTCTCTCTATCACTCTGTCAAATAAATAAATAAAAATCTTTAAAAAACTGTAAGATATTGATGAAAGAAATTGAAGAAGGCACAAATAAGTGGAAAGATATTCCATGCTCATGGATTGGAAAAATTAATATTGTCAAAATGTCCATACTACCCAAAGCAATCTACAGATTCAGTGCAGTTCCTATCAAAATTCCAGTGGCATTTTTCACAAAAATAGAAAAAAGAATCCTAATATTTGTATGGAATCACCAAAGATCCCAAAGATAGCCAAAGTAATCTTGAGAGAGAACAAAGCTGGAGGTGTCACACTCCCTGATTTCAATCTATATTACAAATTATAATTATCAAGCTCTAGTATGGAATAGTCATAAAAACAGACACATAGACCAATGGAACAGAATAGAAAGCCCAGAAATAAACCCACACATATTTGGTCAATTAATTTATGACAAAGGAGCCAAGAATATAGCATAGGGAAAAGACAGTCTCTTCTATAAATGATATTGGGAAAACTGGACAGCCACGTGCCAAAGAATGAAATTCAATCACTATCTAATACCATACACAAAAATTGGATTAAAGATTTGAACCTAAAACTTAAAACCAGAAAAGAAGAGGGGTGCCTAGGTGGCTCAGTCAGTTAAGTGTCTGCCTTCTGCTCAGGTCATGATCCCAGGGTCCTGGTATAGAGCCCCACGTAGGACTCCCTGCTCAGTGGGAAGTCTGCTTCTCCCTTTCCTTCTGCCCTTCCCCTTGTTCCTGCTCTCTCTCTCTCTTTCGCTCTCTCCCTCCCTCAAATAAATAAATAAATAAATAAAAACAACTCCTAGAAGAAAGTATAAATGGTAAGCTCTTTAACATCAGTCTTGGTGATTATTTTTTGGATCTGACACCAAAAGCAAAAACAACAAAAGCAATATAAACAAGTGGGACTACATTAAACTAAAAAGCTTTGCACAACAACGGAATCAACAAAATGAAAATACAACCTACCAAATGGGAGAAGATATTTGCAAATCATGTATCTGATAAGGGGTTAATCTCCAAAATATATAAAGAACTCGTACAAGTCAATGACAAACAATCCAATTAAAAATTTGACAGAAGACCTGAATAAACAGTTTTCCAAAGAAGACATACAACAGGTAATAAAAAGGTACTCAACATCACAAATTATCAGAGAAATTCAAATCAAAACCACAATGAGATATTAACCTCACACTTGTTAGGATGACTATTATTAAAAAGCCAAGAAATAAGTGTTGGTGAGGATGTGAAAAAATGGAAATCCTTGAGCACTGTTGGTGGGAATGTAAATTAGTACAGCCACTATGGATAACAGTATGGAGGTTCATAAAAAAATTAAAAATAGAACTACCATATGATCTAGCAATCCCACTTCTGGGTGTTTACCTGAAGAAAACTAAAACACTAACTGGAAAAGACATGCACTCCCATGTCCATTGCAACATTATTTGTAGTGACCAAGATAGGAAGCAATCTAAGTGTCCATTGATAGATGAATGGATAAAGAAAATATGATATATAAAAAAGAAGATCTTGTCATTTGTGACAATGAAGCAGCACCTTGAGGGCATTATGCTAAGTAAAATGAGTCAGGCAGAAAGAAACAAAAACCATATGTTCTCACTTATACATGAAATCTAAAAATAAACAAACAAACAAAAACAAGCTCATAGATACAAAGAATAAATTGGTGGTTACCAGAGGTGGAGGTGGCGTAGTGAGTAAAGTGAGTGAAGGAAGACAAAGAGTAGAAACTTCCAATTACAAAATAAATAGTAATGGGGATATAATGTACAGCATGGTGACTATTAATTAATAATATTGGGTATTCCATATATGGAAGTTGCTAACAGAGTAGATCTTAAAAGTTCTCATCACAAGAAAAAATATTGTAACTATGTGAGGTAACAGATATTAACTACACTTATTTTAGTGATCATTTCACAGTGTATACAATTATCAACTCATGTTGTACACTTGAAACTAATATAATACTGTATGTCAAATATACTTAAATAAAAATAAAGAAAGAGAGAAAACAGGGTTTAAAACCCTAAAAAAAATTATTTTTAGCTGAATGAAAATGAAAGCACAACACACTGAAATTTACAGGATGCCACTAGAGAAGTACTTAGAGAAAATAAAAGCACTAAACACCTGTATTTAAACAGAAGAAAGGTCTCAAATCAATTATCTCAGCTTCTTCTTTCAGAAACTAGAAAATAAGAGAAAATTAAATCCAAAGGAAGTAGAAGAAAGGAAATAATAGAAATAGAAAAAGCAGTAAGACAACAGAAATAAATCAGTGAAACCAAAAACCAGTCCCTTGGAATAATTACAACTATTGTTAAACCTCTAACCAGACATCAGAAAAAAAGAGAGAGAAAGAGAAGTCACAGATTATCAAAACTATGAATGAGAGAAGTGATATTTCTACAGATTTTACAGATATTAAAAAGATAATAAGGAAAAATCATTGTGCTGGTTGAATAGTGTTCCCAAAAAATTCATGTCTATCTGAAACCAGTCAATGTGACCTTTCTGGAAATAGTGTCTTTACATGTGATCAAGTTAAGGTAAGGTCTGATCAAGTTAAGGTAAGGTCATAGTAAATTGGGTTGGGCCCTGAATCCAAGACTGGTAACCTTACAGGAAGAGGGAAATTTGGCACAGAGAAACACACGGGGAGAACATCATGTGAAGATGGACACACAGATTGTAGTAAAGAACCTATAAGCCGAGGAATGCCACAAATTTCTAGCAATCACCAGAAGGTAGGAGAGAGGCATGGAGCAGATTTTCCTTCAGAGCCTCTAGAAGGAACCATCCTTCCCAAAAACTTGACTTTGGACTTCTAGCCTCCAGGACCATGAGACAATAAATTTCTGTTTTTTTAAGCCATGGTAATTTGTTACAGAAATCCTAGGAAACTAAATACAATTATAAAAATATGCCAATAAATTTGAAAATTTAGGTGAAATGGACAAATTTTTTGACAGATGCAAACTACCAAAAATTCACACACCAAAAAAGATAACTTCTATTTATCCTTATATCTGTTAAGAAACATAATTGTAGTCAAAATTTTTCCACAGAAAAAACTCCAGATCCAGATGGATTCACTAATTAATTCTACCAAACATTTAAGGAAGAAATAATAGCAAATCTACACAAATTAATCCTGAAAACTGAAAAGGAGGGAATACTTCCCAACTGATTTTATAAAGTCAGAATTACTATAATACCAAAACCAGAAAAAGACATTACAAGAAAATAAAACTGTAGATCAATATCCCTTGTGAATGTGGATGTAAAAATTCTTTGCAATAGTTCAGTAAATAAATCCAATAATGTATACAAAAAAGAAAAATACATCATGACCAAGTGGGGTTTATCCCAGGATTGTAAAACTGGTATGGCATTCAAAAACCAACCAATGTAATCTCCATGTTAACAAATTAAAAAGGAAAAACTGTACATTCATCCCAATAGATGCAGAAAAAACTCAACATCCATTCCTGATGAAAAAAAAAAAACCTTCAGCAACATATGAACAGAAAGGGAACTTCTTCTACCCATTAAGGGGCATCCACAAAAAACCTACAAGAAAATCATACTCAGTGGTGAACAACTGAACACATTCCCTCTGAATCAGGTACAAGACAAAGATGTCTACTAACCACTTCAATCAGCATGGCATTGAAAGTTCGAATCAGTGCAATAAGGCAAGAGAAAGAAAGAATACTTGGAAAGGAAGAAGTAAAACCATCTCTGGTCACATGATCATCTATATAGAAAATCCAATAAAATTTTAATTACTAATTTTAATTTAAATAAACCTAAAAGTAAGTTTAACAAGTTTGTAGGTTACAAGAGTGATGTACAAAAAAACCCAATTGTATTTCTATATACTAGGAATAAAAAATCATAATTTGAATTTTTAAGAAATGCCACTTAAACATCAGATGATATGAAACACTTGGGGATAAATCTAACAAGAAGACTTGGAAATCATGAAACACTGTTGAGAGAAATTAAAGGAGACATATGTCATGTTCATGGATCAGAAGGCTCAATATTGTTAAGACATCAATTCTCTCCCAATTGATCTACAGATTTGACATAATCCCAATCAAAATCCCAACAGAATTTTTTTTACATATGAACTAGCTGATTATAAAATTCAGACATAAACACAAAGGACATAGACTATCCAAAACAACTTTGAAAAGGTCAAAGCCAGAGGACCAACATTCCCTGATTTCAAGACATTATAAACTACAGTAATATTAAGGCAATATGGTATTGTCATAAAGACAGGCAAATAAATCAATAGAACAGAACAGAGGTAGAACCCCATCTTGAGCAACCTTGAACAGTACTTTCATGGTGGGTCATGAGATAATGGGAAGCACACTGTTCAACCCGCTCCAGTCATCCTGTGATCCAAGTGCAGCTCAAACATCTCAGCATTCTCCTCCACCAGGATGAGCCTCTTCAACACAGGACATCTCCAGAGGCCAAGGGCAATAACTGAATTCCCCCTCCCTTCCATATTTGAGAGTCACACCTCCCCCCGCAAGGTCCCTGGAACTTGACTTCCCAGTGCCATTAACCAGCTGTTGATCCTAAAGTCCTCTATACTCATGTGGCCGAGAGAGTTC